TCTTTATACTTAAAGTTGAAGGGGAAAAAAAAGGCCTAAGAAAATTTTCTCCTTAAATTTAAACAAAAAGATCAGAGGATATATGGCTCCTCCCTTTCCCTGCTCAAACTTTCTTCCACAACCCCTTTTCTCATCCAATCCAGCTTAGAAAAATTCAAAGGGCCACAAATCCAGAGCTGATATCCTATAGCCGATAACACCTCAAATGACCCCTAATGATGATGTTCAGTGACTCACCAGCAGAGAAAGGGGAGACACATAAGGGCCCCCTGATCTCTTTTGAAACCTCAGGTTCATGGATGCCTGCGACTTCAAGGGCTTCAAAGTGTTGTTTTCCTGCGTAAGAAAATCTGCATTAGCTGGAGGAAGAGAATTGTTAGCTGGCCCTGCCAAAAACATTTCATCTGATGAAGCCATGAATAACTCACAAAACACATTAAATGTAATGAAGGTTAATCCTATATTCTGAAGATGCAAATTATCGTTTAGATTTGATGTATGGCATGTAGATTTGCTTTGGAGGACACTAATTTTACAGTCACAAGTAAAAGGGATGGGGGTGGGGAGGGAGTCTGCTAGGAAGGGGATGTTGAGATTTGTAAAAGTGAACATGAAGGGAGATTAGAAGGATAGTGTTAAATCAAGAAAAAGCTGATCAGAACAGCCAAAAACATAGGCATATGTTAGTCAAGTAAGAAAAGAACAGCAGCGATCTTTCATGCATACTGACCTGGACAAAGGAATGGGAGGCAGGGGAGAACAAAAGATATCTAGAAAAGGGGCTTAGTTGAAGAGGTTAGATAGAGAATTATCTTAGTGATTAGGTAGCTCTGGAGAGGCCAGTTTCAACTTGGAACTGAAAGATGTCCTAAGGCTTAGATAAAAAGAACTATGGTTTCCTCTGAATAGGGGCTAAAAAGCTAGACTAAGTGGGAAATAAGAAGAAACTAAGAAATCTACTCTTGAATGTAAAGTCATGAAAAGAATCTGTGAACAAGTTGTGCAAGTTATCCATATCTGTTAAAAATAAAAAAAGAACTCCTAAATTCCTTACTCTGCAGTAACAGTAATTTTTGTCTTCAAACTGATCAACTGAACATAAGTAATAATTATGACCTGCTGTATAGGACTTGGAAGTAGATTTCTGTCCTAGGGTCAAACCCTAATGAGAAAAAACAAAACAAAACAAAGACTTCTTTTACCTACAGCAATGTAGTTTGCTTGTCCAGCATACTTTGGTATAAACAGCTCCAGATCTCACAATGATATCAGTGAGTTGCTTCACTCGAAGGAATAAAACTGCTAATATATCTAGGTTTCCATTAAACACTCACATTTTCTTTATTTGCTGATGATCTACGCATTGCATCTTTCTTTCTGTGGCCATGGTCCAAACCATTTGGAGTGCTACAAAGAAGCTGTGCCTAAAAGAGAGTGTTTGTTGAGAATATCCAGCATCCTCAAGCCACGGGTGAGTTGGAAACCCTCTGCCTCCCACCTGAGAAACAAATATGAACCCAAACAAGAACGGCTACTCACTGGGCTGCATTTCATAAGGTGTTGGTGTTGATTCCTACAGATTAAAACAAACTGCCAGTCAGGTAAGCCCCAAATACTGTTTTATTATTTTTTAGTGGGTTGGGGCATCCCAACTTTTCCTTTCTTTCATCTAGGAGCCCTATTCCTAGTTGATATATCTCTTCCAATAACAATACATAGGGTATTCTCTATGGTAAATATCAAGACTCAAGTGACATCCTGGGATAAAACATTCATCCTACTTGTATAACCATATATGTAGACATACACCAAAGATGAATAAGTTTGTCCTACATCTTAGGTAGACACAATTTACTAATTTTTCAACATTGACTATTGGGGGCTAATTTTTTTTATGAATTTCTATCCTCTCTCTCAGGATTTTATCAAATTGATATGGGTTAGACCATTTAAAGCAATTCAAAGAAAATACAAGCAATTCAAATGAAATTTTCACATGTATTGGTAAAAATAGTCATGGAAAGCCTTCCCTAGTGTGCTAATATAGCACCTAATTCACCTAAACATAAAAGGATAAAGTTCTAAAAAGATTAAAATAGCCAAGTAGAAAATTTGCAGTAAGTTTAAGAAGGTTTGAATTAAAATTAGTTTTTATTCCTTGAGTATTTCCTGACTAAACATTTTAGGATCTCCAACATAATAGTAATAATAACAAACATTATAAAATGTTTGGTATGTGCTAGATACACATTTTCATTTAATCCTTACAATAGCTGTTTATGAAAAGTGGTATCATTATTTCCATGTTATGAATAAAGAAACTGAGGTCCAATGAAGTTAAGAAACTTGTCAGAGTCACAGCTGGTAAAGTAGGAAGCTGCTGGAATCCAGAAACTCTGATTCCACAGCCTGCACTCTGCACTTTTAATCACTAAGATACAGCACCTCTCACATGCAAATTAAAGCCTACACAACTGCAGTATACATTTTCCTTTGTTTTTAAAGATACTTGTGATTGTGTGTGATGATTAAAATGAATAGCCTTCATTTTCACAACACTAGTTAGATCTGGGAAATTTAAAAGCTGTTAAAGGTAAGGATCTAGGCCTCAAAACCCACTTTTACCCAAAGTGAAAGGTTTTATACTCCGCAGAGTCTACATAGGATAAAATCCCCATGACCAGTGCTGAAAGGCTTTAGCATGGGATTCATTTAGCAGCAGAACTTACATCTCAGCTAACTGTATTTCTTGAGATCCTGAAGAATCCAAGTGACCTGCAATCAGATATGAACAATCAGTAGAGGAGTTATTCTTGTCTGTGCATCTTGTTTTTCCTTTAGATTTTCTTCATTACCAATAAGCCATATTAATTTCAAAGGCTGAGCTTTTGAACACAAAGCCCCCTAATTAGTATCCATTTTGTGGTATAAGGTATAAGGTACAATTTCATGGAGACTTAAGAATTTACCTGTGTCACTGAAAGAAAAAATGATGGGAAGCAGTGCACTATGCTAACCTATGGAGATTTTTTTCATGAGTAGAAAAGAAAGCTTATCACTCAGGAAATTTGAAATTAGAATACTCGAATGGTTGAATAACAAAACAGTCCTTTTGGGCACAGACCTATGAAAACACATAAGAATTAGTTGACAGCATTTGTCTTTATGCTGGTTTCTTTGCCTCTGCTGAGATTAGACTAGGGCACAAAACATCTCATATCCTAACTACTATACTTTCATTCCCACCATTAATCAGTCAACAAAATATATTTCTTCTTGTTTAACTTGTTCAAATGCAAAGTGACTCAGTGTTATTATTTTTCTCTTCCCATTGGTTTAATCATTCTTCTAGTTACCCACAAAATTCCATCTCTCTAGCTAGGCTCTCTACCTACTTTCACCACCTTCCATCTCTATCCTACTACCCTGTCTTCTCCCTTAAAAGTTATTCTTCCCTTTGAGGCCTTTACCTCCCTTTTTCCTACCAGTTTCATCAAGGTCTGCGGAAGTGGTAAGCTGAGTGGCAGACATCTCCCCACTGCTAAGATTCGAAAGATCGAGGCAACGTTTTGGGGTTCCTCTGTTGAGACACAACAGTACATCAAGATTCCCATTAGGTTGTAATATCCTTAAAAGTCAAAGAGTATGTTATCCTCTTCATTTGAAACATCCCTCAATGACTATCAGATAATCTGAACAGTTCCGCATAAATCTAATTGTCTTTTGGAAATAGACAGTACAATACAGTACAATCATCTGTACCTTAGTTTCTCCTTACCAACATTTTGAGACAGGATAATTTTTTTTTAAATGAGGCTCAAAGTTTATTGGCCGGTGGTGGTGGGATGTCTTGACCCTACATCCTCTGCCCTGTGCACCATGAACGTACGATTTGATTTCTCCCTGAAGTCTCTAGTACTTCTCAGGTACTTCTCTGTTTGCTAGCTGAGGCATCAGGACATGGCATGACCAGAATTTAAAGTACAAGTACAATAACACTAATATTAATACTATGAGAGTGACCAACTCACATAATGCAATATAGTTTTCAAAGACTTTTCCCATACATCATAACCTTTGATTCTCACAAGATCCTAGTATAATAGGAAGAGATTATTATTTCTATGTCACAGAAAAGAAGCCAGAGACTCAAAAGGGTCACAGAGTCAAGGTGAGAGCTGAAACTTAAATCCTGACCTTTGAGCCAAGATAATTTAAAAAACAAACAAAAACGCCCAACTGTTTAGAAAAGCAAAGGAGATAAAGGTGTAAAAATAAAAGTGGATTTACCCAGACAAAACGCTTAGGTTTGCAGAATCACCAGGGAGTTTGTCCACTGGAGTTCTAGGGAGATCTGGACAGACGGTAAAGGAAGTCTCTCTCTCCAGGAGCAGGTTTAACATCTTCCTCTGATTGGACCTAAAACTTGGTCCCGAGCCAGAGCTTTCCTCTTCTCTTGTGGATGAGATGAGCTCTGTAGACATGGTCTCCGAGTTCTTACCAAGAAAAAACAAAACCTAGCTAGGAAAAGGAGAACATCACCTACACAGGTACATCATAGTTCATTCAGCTTTCCAAATTCCTTCACCCTTTCCAGCCGGGCGGATCAGTATTGGAGAAGGGGCATCCCCGAAGGGTGATTCTCAACCAGGCTTGAAGATTAAATCGTAAATCACACTTGCTGGAAGCGGCTTGGTCTTTTCGTGGAACCTGAACTTACCGACGAGAGGCAACCTCAGGACTTTTAAAGGTAGAATGAAGAGAGGACTTTGACTTGCTCCGGGCCACACGGCTCGAGACTCCTCAAGGGAAGGTACTCAGGTCTCCTAACTTGCGATCGTGCCCATTTGGTCCTCTGAACTTCCGTTTGCGGGCTCCCGACTGGACCCTAAGCGGGCGAAAGGGTTTCCGTGATTCCGCGGGAGAGACGGCTGCGGACTTACCTCAAGTTTCGAGTCTGAGACTTGCCTGAGGGAGAAAGGAAAGTGGATAGGGATCGACACAAGCGAAGACTCGAGCAGAATAAAAGGAAATCTAGGCAAAAGATGCAATTGCCCAGACTCCAATTCTGCTTCTCGACTTCGTAGGTCAGAGTCTGGCTTAGCTGCTACACTGGACAGAAGGCCACAGTTATGGCCTCTGTGCAAGGATACCAACAGCCACAGACGTTGACCGTTCAAACCTTCCGCCCTCTCAGTAACCTATCCCCGCTCGCCTCTCAGCTGCGTCAGCCAATCTCCGCGCGCGCGCCCAGACCACTCCCCCCTCCCCCCGAGGGGAGTGAGCTTGCTCGGGAAGGGTCAAGATTTGCCCCGCCCTGGAGCCAGAGCAGGATGACCATTGGTCCACCAGCGTCAGGCACGCCGCCAGGTAAGCTCCACCCCACATGGAGCCTGGCGCACCATTGGCTCTCCCTCTGGCCAATCGCCACACCCGTTCTGTGCTCTTCGTTCCCTCTTCCTCACGAACCCCGGCAGATTTAAATTGAGCCTCGCTGGCGGTGACCGTTAGCTGGGATAATACGAAAAGAGATTTTGAGTGGAAAGATGTTTTAAGCGTTTCATTTTCTTGCTTCTTTCGCGTGTCGTTACATAGACCTTTCCTTCTTAGTTTCGCTATCCTTCCGCTGGAGACGGAGGATTCGCCGCCGGTGTCGCAGGTGTTGGGGCGAGACAGGTGTGTCTATGCTGAGCGTCATTGGCCCCTTGCAAGAGCTTTCTTTGTTCGATGTCCCTTTTCGTGCGCAGCATCTGAGAGACACTAGGTTATGTGGGTAAACAGAAATTACTTTTCAGGAAAAGTAGGGGAGTTGAATCATCTTTTGACATAATCCTTACCATGGCCCCAAGGATCTTAAACCTTGGTTATTTATGGAAATTTGAACACCGACTAGGTGATATTTAGAAATTCTTAATGTTAGCCATTTGCTTTTAAATAATCCTGTGGGAGTGGGTATTAATGAGACAAAATTGTCCGTGAGTGTTGGGTCATAGGGAACAGAGGGGTCCCTTATATTAAATATTTATGCTTCTCAAAAGTTTAATGTGCACACTAAACACCTGGGGATCTTGTTAAAATACAGATTCTAATTCAGTAGGTCAGGTTGCAGCCCAAGATTGTGTACTTCTAACAACTTTGCAGTTGATGCAGATGGTCCTGGGACCATATTTTGAGTAGTAAGACATTATGCTACACTGTACTTCAGTGTATATTTGAAATTTTCCATGATAAAAAAATGCTTAAAACAACCTCAGAAGCTCTTTAAAATGCAGGCTCCCGAAAGATGAGCTGATGTTTGCAAACGCAGAAGAATTTTTCTATGAGAAGGCAATCCTGAAGTTCAACTACTTGGTGCAGGAGGAGAGTGACACTTGTCTGGGAGGCAGATGGTCTTTTGATGATGTACCAATGAAGCCCTTGTGAACTGTGATGTTAATTCCAGGCAACAAGATGAACGAAATCATGGATAAACTGAAAGAACATCTATCTATCTAACCCATTTCCCATGGACAGCGATGAGCTTGTTTTTGTAAAATTACCAGAAAACTCAGTGGAAATTTATTGAAAAACTCAAACTCGTGACTTTATTCAGATGAAGATCCTATACAAAAAGTAGGGTTCTGTCCCATGTGTCTGTGACACATTTACAAAATATCTGTTTTTTTAAATTTTTGGTCAAATTATGAATGGTTGATTAAAAACTTTGCCAATAAGAGAAAAAATGGAGTAGTAATTTAAAGAACTCAATAAAAACTTCTATTTTTTATTTTAAAATAAAAAAAATGCAGGCTTCCCAAATGATGATTCAATAGGTCTGGGGTGGGGTCTAGAAATTATCAAGGTCCCCAGGTGCTACCTATGCAGATGGCTTGCAGACCAAACTTTGAGAAACAAAAGTCAAAAATAAAAATTCAATCTTTGATAAACAAGTCAGAAATACAACCTTTGTCTGATGTCAGGATCTTGGTGGTGGTAATAGCTAAGAGGCACAGTGTAGTCAACTGGTTTTTATCCTAATACCCTTTTTATCTGTAGAACCTACTTCCCCAGAAAGAAGGTGTGTGAAGAGTCTTTGTCCTCTAAGATAAAGACAGTGAGTGTGGGAGTCAGCACAGAGCCTTGCCATGCCAGGTGAGTTTGAAAATCAGGCTGGGGATTAAGGGAGTGTGGTATGAGTTGATTTCTGCTTTGATGACTATAGTATAATCACACTTTGTGTGACACTGTTACTTCCCTGCAGGTGGGAAATAGAGACAGATGGAGTTGTTCTGCAGCGGCAGCAAAAGCAGATAGATTATGGTAAGTGTACCCCTGGTTACCAGTGCTTTCTGCAGCAGGTCCCCAAGTGAGTGCAGTTGTGGGTGGTCACAACAAGGTGTCAACCAAGGGCTTTGGCTTATTGTCAGGTGATGGAAAGATATTAGAATGTGAGTGCTCTGACAAAGTCGCAGCATTACTAAAACTAATCCAGCCCCAAAAAATAAGTTTCTGAGATTTTCTCAAATGGAACAAGCATTCAGTGGCACATGTCTGTAGTCCCAGCTACTCAGGAGACTACTTGAAACTATTGCTTGAGCCTAGCAGTTTGGGGCTAGCCTGGGCAACATAGCAAGACCACATCTCTGAAAAAAAAAAGACTTTTTAAAACTCTCTCCATGTTTCCCAATGAGGCGGGTTTCCTCCCATTTTTACCATCTCCTCATGACTCCAGCTGACTTAGCTAATTGTAACATACTTGACTAATTACATGCACGTTTACATGCATACATACAAACGGATGTGTGAAAGGCTAGAATTATTTTGAAGTGAAGTAAAATACTATCTTTTATATCTTAATTTCTGAAGTACTTGGAATATATCTCATTTACCCTTCCCACAAGAATAATATTAGGGAGTGGGTAGCTGGGTGTGGTGGCTCACGCCTATAATCTTAGCACCCTGGGAGGCCAAGGCAGGAGGAGGATTGCTTGAGGCCAGGAGTTCAAGACCAACCTGAGCAAAAGTGAGACACTATCTCTACTAAAAATAGAAAAAGTTAGCCAGGTGTGGTGGCCTGTGCCTGTAGTCTCAGCTACCTGGGAGGCAGAGGCAGGAGGATTGCTTTAGCCCAGGAGTTTGAGGTTGCAGTGAGCTATGATAACACCATTGCACTCCAGCCAGGACAGACAGAGCAAGACTCTGCCTCAAAAAAAAAAAAGAAAAGAAAAGAAAAGAAAACTTAGCTGGACATGGTGGTGTACACTTGTAGTTCCAGTTACTTGGGAGGCTGAGGCGGGAGGATCACTTGAGCTCAGGAATTTGAGGCTGCAGTGAGCTATGATGATGCCACTGCACTCTAGTCTAGACAAAAAAGAGAGACCTTGTCTCAAAAAAGAAAAAGAATATTAGCGAGTGGGAAGTTTGGTATTTAATCTGATCTGAAGATTTACTTTTTCTCTTGGATTGAGGAAATTGATCCTATGTCATCCTTGGAGAATCCCTAGTAGGCTCCTGATTCACTGTGATAAGCAGTGAGCTGTGTCCTTTCCACCTTGACCTCAGTCTGACCTATATTTATTGTTGCCAGGGCACAGCGACAGCCAGGTCTTCACCCTCAAACACCAAACAAGTACAAGAAGTATAGCTGTCACTCCTCGGATGCCCAGATCAGGCAGTGGAGAAGAGCCCTACATTCCTGGGACCCTCCCCAGCCAGAATCTGCAGGGCAGAGGGCAAAGGGGTATGTTCTCTATTCCTGGTTCCTTTCATGAATGGTGAGCTGAGCCCTACCTCTCTCCACTTTGCAGAAGTTTAGCTTTCACTGGGTGAAAAGGGAGGGTCTGAATGAGTGCATGCTCCTCTTACTCTGCTACCTTCCTGGGCAGGGAATGGAGAGAATCTTAAAGTCAATGAATTCCATCCCTTTGGATGACCTCCTGGATGACTGGCTCCAGGCCCTAGAACCCTCAGAGAATATGAATGGAGACCAGAAGGGGGCCCCAAGTAGTATCCTCTGCTGAAACCCACTGGAGCAGGGACAGAGATGGGGCCATGAGGGTACAATTAAGACGGGGTTCAAAGTAGTGGCCCAAGAACAAAAAGGCGCAGCAGAGAAACATAGCAGGAACGAGTAAAAAAACTCAAATTAAAAGTGGCATAAGGAGATTTAATTATGGGCAGGAGTGTTGGGCTGCACTGGGGGGTGGAGGGGGGGAGCTATTTTATACTTGATGAAGGGTATACCCTTCCTTCGAAATGAGGCCTGAAACCTGATTTGCAGGTTTGCTTTTTTTAGAGTGTCTCAGCTTTTCAATGTTTTGCAAATGAGCCAATGTTTACTTCTTTTACTCAACCTTTTAACTTCAGTAAGCACAGTTAATAATAAAAAAGGGAACAGCCTAGTGTTGAAGAACAAGGGCTTTTAGAGTCTCAGACTGCTTTTTGATGCTATGTTTGCCTACCACATGGGCAGTCACTTAACCTTTTGGGCTGTTTCATCTGTCAAATAACAAGATTTTGTTTCATTTTATTGTAAAC